ATGACCTTGCATGTAAAAGGCAACTCATACTAAACAGCAAGCAATTCAATGTGAATTGGTTGTGTGTTCTTGAGAGTTAAGGTGCAGTTTTTGGCTTCATTTAAACATTAATCAAAATCAATAACAGCTCAATGGAATAATTTTTGGGGAGTTCCAGTGTTGATATTTAAAGCATTTTTGACATAAATATAGTGAGTTGTTACCATGCAGTTGGATATAAAACCCAAAGCTCTGACTCATCAAGTGATGATCTAAAACTCAAAATTTTACAGTTTTTTGCATATCTGTGTCTTTATTCTAAAACAGTACGTCAACAAAACCAATACACGCACAATCAGTAAATGAGCATTGAATTTTGCTCTGCACTAAAATGCAAACACCTGCGCATATGCGCTGCACATGAATTTGCAGGGAGCTTTTTTTTTTTAAAATATTATTGGTACCCGATGTGCCTGACAGCCGCTTCTCCAGAGTCGTCATCTCATTTAACACTGACTGAATGAAGGGAACTATTTTTTACTTTAGCTTAACCACTTAGCCTCAGGGTATGCATCAATGTTGATGATGCTGGGCCGGCATAATTATCATTTTTTCCGTTTTCAAAATTCGTCAAAAATTCATCATTTCATTTAACGGACGTTTATAGCCACACGAAGTAAACTTTAGGCACTACTCTAAGTTGACAGGTGAACTTCATTGACGCCCGAGAATTTCAGCCAGGCCTGCAGCCTTGTAAAAAGAGCCCAGATTGTGCGGTGTTGTGTAACTTTCTTTTGTTCACGAACCTGGCTCAGTGCACTGCTGACCTCTTTTCAATAGGGGCCAGATTAGCTTGCAGCGGTGCTGTGTGGCTCATCCCTGCGGTGGTGGAGCGCTTTTGTCCCCGGTGGTAATCCACTTGCTCTAAATGCCCCAAACCTTTGTATACGGTTTCAAAACAAAGCAGGATTATCTCCACTTTTGAGAGTGAAAAATGTCGGTAATGCCCAGCAGCCTGGTCTTTTGTTCGGAGTACGGTCTTTTGTTACAGGGCCCTGTTCCCTTTGTCCGAGTTCGGAGACCCGGCCACTCATATAAAGCATACGTCGCCGATGCCGGAGTCCCCGGCAGGAAGGGGTTAACTTATTAATCGAAAGACAGCCATCAAAAGACATGCATACGAAATAGGATGACCTTGCTTGCAGGTTAGGGTAACATTCGTTTTAAAATAATCAGCTATGGATGTAAATAAACATGTGCCATTGCCCTGTACATGTGCCTGTCATTCAAAAGACACATTGGCATTCGCATATGTTGTACATGTACTTGCGCATTGCATTTAGATAATTCGATATGCATTCTATCTGATTTTGAATGTTCTACAAACACGTACATGGATTCAAAATGTCTGCGCCCAGGAGGGCGTTCAATTTTCTCTACACGGAGATTGAGATGTTACCTCTCAAGTTATATATATATCTGTGTGGTTGTTATAAATCCCCATAATGTCATTTTTTCCCCTCTGCCAGATTAAGAACTATGTGGGCAAGGCCAAGATCGTAGTGTCTCTTGTGACGAGACAAGCTCCTCACCAGCTCCACCCAAATGGACTGGTGGGAAAACCATGTAAGAATGGGATCTGCACCATCATGGTAGAGAATAACCAGAGGATGACTGTCAGGTGGGTCAAGAGAACACCAAACCAACAAACTTGTGATAAGAACCGACAAGTTTTTTCTTAGAAGGTTGATATATGTATGTAAACTGTACCTTGTGGCTACCAGTAAGTGTACATGCTAAGAGTACAGTGGTACCAGTCTTTTGAAACATGAAGTTGCATTTTCTGTCGCAAATGTCATGATAAAACTTTTCTGTGCTGGCTCCCAGCTGAGCAGTGCAATGCTCGTGGTTATTGGTAACCAGCTATAAGCCCTGCTTTTTGTTCATGGGCTTCTTTCTTGCACTGTGTATTAAGTGGCCATCTGCGATATATTGTCAAAAATGTGGACATTGATGTTTTGAACAAAGGTGCTTACCATCGGCAAGTTGGAACCTGAAGGACAGTGTAAGAAAAATGGGCGAAAGAGCACTAGGGTTGGATTGGCAGTGAGTGCACATGTAGCTGTGTTTCATTGATGATACTGCCCTCAACTTGTTCAGCAGCTGTTTGACTCATGAGGTGTGGGTTTTGTACTGACAAATGTCTTTCTAAAACTCCATCTTGTTCAGGGTTTAGCTATTAAATATTGCTGAATTCAAATGTTGAAATAACTTTGTGCAGAAAATATTTATGTTGCCTTACTATTGTTAGTGGTGTAATGGAGGTGAAGGTAGTCACTGCAAGTTTTTACTTGTAAATGAGTCGTGGTACATGTAGGTAACCTTGTAAACATCAGAAGTTGAACGTGAACAAAAAAGCAGCTAAAATGTCACTGAGGAATGTTTGGTTATCACGGTTATTAATTGACAGAGATGCCAACTTGCGCGATTTAGGCATAATGTTTGCGATTTGTTTAATCCAATTACGAGTGTACCATCCAGACTAAGATTTTTACAATTTCCAACTCAAAGGTACAAAACCATATACGCTACGTAAGCTTGTGCTAGCACAGAGCCGACCTTGTAATGCACGCGTCAGAAATGTGTAGCTGGCATCCTGCAGTTTGTGCGTACAGTGTGGCTGAACCATCTGTTCCCCCCAATTAATGCTATGATGATCAGGGAGTGAATAGGCACGATTGCACTTCACATGCAACGTGACTGTGTATGTCCATGCACTGTACATGCACTTGCACCTACATGTATATTGTACATGTGCGTATATACATGTACATGCGTCAAACATCATGATCGTGCTAAAGTTGACCGGAGTGGCGTATATACATGCGTCAAACATCATGATCGTGCTAAAGTTGACCGGAGTGGAGGATAGACTGTCAAGAATTTGATTCTTGGATATTTGGTGAGCAGCAGGACTTGTTTTGCACAATGGCAACAAGTGAGCAGAAGTTCTGGGTTTAATACACCAAAAAGGGACCTTTGTTACAGAGTTTCGTCATGGAGAAGCTTACATGTGTGTGTTTTGAAACACATAACTGTGACGTAATAAATATTGCCCACACTTGGATCTTACAAAACCAAGCAGCACATTTAGTTAGGCCGTGGCAAAATGGTTAATGTTAGGTCAAGAAACAATAGCTCTGCCTCCGATAAAATCGGGTCGGTAGGTAAGGAGTTTTTGAAAATATTTTGTGCTGATTGAATGGGATGAAAGTTGCCAAAAATTGCCACAAAAGTGATTAAAATAAAAACATCAGAATAAATTTGGGAATATAATCAACAATTATAGACAATGCACTTTTAAACAATGCTAGTTAGGTAAATCCAAGTGTTTTGACGTGAAAAGAAGTTGTTGAAAGGTGTTTGTGTTGACAGAAAAAACAACAGGATTTTTTAAAGCTTTGTTTTGGTTTTCGGGGTTTTTTTTCCTAATTTGCTGATAAAAATTGTTAGGGTCGCACCGAAAAATAAGGGTCAGTTGGGGAACTGGAAGTGTGATAGGATTACACTTTTTCGTTTGAAAAGTTGGCATCTCTGAATTGGCAATTTAGAGTGTGCTGCTTACAAAAATCTACCCATTCCTTTCCAGCTTTCCCAATCTTGGAATCCAATGTGCCAAGAAGAAGGACATCCAGGCTGCCATAAATGAGAGGCAGAGGCTCGGCGTCGATCCCTTCAATGAGTCGGCAGGGAGGGCCAATGCCCAGTTGCCAAACGACTACGAGATGAACATCGTCTGTCTCTGCTTTCAGGCCTTCCTGCCCGACCCCAACCAGCCCTCGCAGTTCACCAGAGCCCTGCCTCCGCAGGTCTCTCAGCCCATCTACGACAAGAGTGAGTGGAAAGAATAGATATATCTGTACTGAGACGCAGTGCACTACGTCTTGATTAATTATTGCTTGAAATTGCAGTTGATAAACGTATCTTGTTTATCAGCAAAAAATTTGGTGCTATAGAGTATGGTCAATTTTGACTGGTAGCCTGCGCAATATAAACCGGGCACCAGGTAAACTCAACCAGTGCTTAATAAATTATTGTTGATCGAACTTGCCACATTTTGAATTGAAAGCGGGGTTAACTTTTTTATTTGGGGAACCCAAGAATTCACTACCGATTAACTTAATTTATGATGATGAGCAGTGTGATATATGCAATTTATTTTATCTGAATGGTTTAAGCCAAATGGAAGTGAGGCATGCAACCGCAAATAGTCTGGCACCACCCCGTGTGATAGATTACATTGAATAAGATAGATTCAGGAAACATGATCAAAATGGCTTCCTCGTGAATGAGGTCTGTCTGTTTTCTGTACTCAGAGGGGGCTTCCTTGAATATATCACGAGTTGATCGAAACAATGGAACAGTAGCTGGTGGAGAGGAGATGTTCATTCTGTGTGATAAAGTTCAGAAAGGTGAGGGAAAGGTCTTAGTTGTTAATATCAAAAACAAAAGCAAGTGTTGTGTTTTCTCTAAGAATGAAGATGCATCAATCCAGCAAGTTGAAATCTGAACAAATTTAACTTGGAAAGTGATCTAAAGCTCGTGACCTGTTAAAATTAGAATGTAAGATATAAACTACCTTTTAGACCCTTTTATTAAGTACAATGTTCTCAGTACTTTGTTTTTATTCTTTCTATTCTACACTCACCCTCATGCTTGTCAATTAATCTCTCGCTTGCATGCAAAATGCTTGAATCGATCAGTTTTCCTGTTTCAGTATCTTTCCTCCAAAAATTCTGCACCTACTACTAGAGGTGTAGTCGAGTCCTTCACAAGTCCTCACTACTCCCGACAAGTCTATCGCAAGTTATGCTGTGTAAAACCAAGTCACAAGCTGCTGTGACAGACGCATTCCTTTATCAGTGTACATCCCATTATGTGCGCCTGGTCTTGTTCCTAGAGCATCAGTCAAATATTCTGCACAAAGATGTATCTTCAGCTTAAGATATACATGTAATGGAAGATTCAGGTAATACTCTGTTCCTGGACAAGCAGTGCTTATGCCAACCATTTCATCGTTCATTTTTCCCAACAGATGATATTGAGGTCGTCTTTTTTCACGACGATTGGGAAAGCCACGCCACTTTTGGACCTAGCGATATTCACAGACAGGTATGCCATGCACTGCCTTCCAAATACCCAAGAATTGCTGGGTAAAATTGGAAGGATTCCGTAAAGCCCTCCCACTGTTGCGTTACATACTGTAGGGCCATTTTCCATTTGTCTCCAAGTGTGAGGCAAGTGTTAATGAGGGCAGCGTTGACTTTATCAGGGTTCCTTCTTCAGAAGGAAGGATGCATTTTGTCTCCATTTTCAATAGCAATATCTCCATTGTATCATCTCCCTTCACCCTCGTGTAATTCATTCCCTGCAAGCATGTTCCATCACTAGTGACAAATAGAAAAGCTGTGACTCCCCCTCTCCGCCCTGGAATAAAAAATCGGAAAAAATAGAAAAAAGGGGAGGAGGGAGGGAAGGAAAAGAGGAATGAGGGTGGAAATGGGTGTCCAGGATTTTACCTCAGAACACACCCTTTCCTCACCCGTTGATTGTTTGCCTACCTGCTCTCCCTCCCCGAAAAAAAACAGCTTATGCTTCTTCCTTACAATGCCAGG